TGGTGAAGCCTCTCACCCTCCGCATCTCTGGCCTATACCCCAGTTCTCTATGAATAAATAAATAAATCTTTAAAAAAAAAACAAAACAAAGGTGCTTGCTAGCTGGAAGAGAGATTCACTGCCTGCCAAACAAGTATCACTGGGATCCCAATGTCAACTTCTCACCTCCCTCCTTTGGAAGGGCCACACTATTAGCCTTTGATTTGCAGGTCTCTGTGGCAACCCCGTTTGAGAGAGCACCGGGCGCCGGGGCACGTCGAGACACATCGCCATCGCCGCGTTCTGTTTCCCGACAGCCTTGGCCATCCCCCTTGGGCAGATGGTCTCAGTGCGACGTTCCTCCCCAGCCCTGGGCTCCTCTTTTACATGGACCCTGCTCTTGACAGCATCACCCAGTTTCAGCACTTGCTATTTGCTACTGCCCTAACCCACAAGCCACTTGTAGGGCTTGGCATCCGCTGGCATATTGCTACCCAAGCCCGATGTGTGCAGATATCTTTGTAAAGGGTGACAGGAAATATGTGCAGCCTTCGGGGCCCGGCACACTCTGTTGTAACTACTGAGCTCTGCCACTGTGCCTAAAACAGCCACACAGCAGAGCTGAGGACTAAGTGTGGCGTGGCCGTGATTGCTGACATGTGAATCCTCCATAATTTTCACATGTCCTCTATACTTGTACCTTAAAAAAAAATTCCAACCATTTATAAATATAGAAAACCTTTCTGAGCTCTCAGGCAGCGTAAGAGGAGGAGACAAATCAGAGAGGCAGTGAATCAGTTAGCACCAGGATCTGCACAACAGCACAAGCTCACCATAGCCACACCCCGGCCCCGGGCTCTGCTGAAGGCTTTGACTTTGTCCTTTTCCTCCTCAGCTCTGACTGCTACAGTGCGACAGCCTGGCAGTTTGGCTACTTCTATCTCTGCACTGAGCAACCTGAGGGCTGGACCCCCGGGGAGGAAGGTGAGGAGAGGAAGGGTCCAGTGTCCTGTCCTGTTCTCTCCAGAAGCAGCAGCTAGTCAAATCACCGAAGTTTTAAGGGCTTCTCCCCGTCTGCATGACCTTTGCAGACACGGTCTTCTCTGCCGCGTCAACTCTGCAGCCACGTAGCCCTCAGCCACCAGCGCTGGCAGCAGTGAGGTACCAGCAGTGAACCAGAACCCCTTCTGAAATTGCCCCCAGGAACAGAGAGCTGGTCTCGACCCGGTCCTGCAACTTACACAGATTTCACAAGTCCCAGCCATGGGGCGGGTTGGCCCCTGAACAGTGAGTGCACCATGGCAGTGTTACCTTAATTTTTTCCCAGCTGATGATTTCCTTTTCCATAGCACCCGTTTTAATCTGCTTGTGACATCACATGCAGAGTCAGCGAGGAGTCTTCCTGAAAAATCCCTCCCGAACTTTGGCTTCGGTCCACATCTGCCTCTGGGAACATGGGACTTAGAAATTGACCAGCTTTGTCTGTGTCTTCAATTGTCCCTTGAAGCTCACGCAGCCTACCGCCTGGCAGGCTTTCGAGAGCAAATGCTTGTTTTCAAAGGGAACATAAAGGATGAATGGTGTAGACACAATTTCATCACTTTCATTGCCTTTAAGGGGGTGGTAGAGCCACGGCCTTAGGGAAATTTACAACCGACCAGCAGTTTCATGACTAAGTTTCCACAGTGACAATTATACACGCATGCACACACACACACACTTTTCTTTTTATATCTCTATATCTACATCCATGTCAATGTCTAAATCTATATGATACAGATGGACCAATAGACAGACAGACAGATGATAGAGATGATAGGTACAGATAAGCTAATAGATTAATAGATGGATGATGGATGGATAGATAGATAAACAGCAGCTAACATTTGAGTATTATGTAGCAGGCACTGTGTTTAGTATATCACAGCTGAAATCTCATTTAAGAACGGGATCATTTGTATTTACAGCCCAAGAAAACATTTTCTTCTCTAGTCTTCATTAATAAATTCATAAGGGTTCTCTGCTCCTTCCTAAGTACCTTATGTGAGAACTTTGACAGAAGAGACCTGGCTAAGTACCCTATCCGTGCCCCCCAAACAAAGAATCAGAAGAAAAAGAAACTACAAAGACAAAACCCACACAGAAGTGGTATTCAGAACTACAGGAACACCAGTTGCCTGCATGTAGCATGTTAAACCTAATACTATCACCAAACTGCCCCCCCCCAAGGATTCAGCTTTCCAAAAACTAGAAGAAATGCCCCAACTTTCATTTCCAAGGTCCCCAGAGGACAGCAAGGCTGGCTGGGTTCCCCAAGAACTGACACGGCCTGTCCCAAGAGGCACTGTCGGCCACAGCACCTCAGGTGACCTGGAGGCAATTTTGAGGAGCTCATCAAAAGCCCCGGAAACCCCAAGGAAAAAAGAACACAAGAAGGGCCCCATTCCAGAGTGTCACTGGAGACATGGAAGGCTCCCGCAGCCCTCCCCAGCCAAGTCACTTCAAGGCTTCCTGGGGACGAAATGTGAGAGAAGATAAACTTTGCTTTCATCTTTAACAACATCAAAAAATAAATAACATCAAAACGCAGGCTGGATGAGGAAGACGCCGAAGTGCATACATAAGTAAGGGTGCATTAATCAGCCTGAAGGATTGCTCAAGCTCACCAGGCTTTGATATGAAACCAGGAGTCTGGGAGAACGGGACTCACGGACCATGGCCAGGAGACTGTCTCCTCCCATCACACAGCACTGCTCCCTTGCTTCCCCAGCCGAAAGGGAAGACACGGAGGCGATCAGTTTCTCAGTTCCTCCACTCCGTGAGTCTCCGCTGTGGCCTCTTAGCTATGATGGCTGTTTTCTAAGGTAAAAGCCAGGCCAAGTAAGTGAAATGCTTTATTCTAGAAAAGCCAGGACTCTTACGAAAACAATGCACAACACAGCCACTAGAATGGCTGTAACACTTTGAGATATTCATACGTGAGCAAATATTCAGTGTTAGGTATACACAGGAACCAAAGCCTTCGTTCAATGCTAGTGAGAAAGGTCAACCGTGTGGACAGCAGACAAGCAACCCATCAACAAGTCAAACAGTTACCCTGTGACCCACATGTAGGTATGTATCCATAAGCAAGCCTGGCCACTCGAAACCTGCATGCACAAGTTCCTGGTAGCACTGCCCCAAATAAGCAAAAAGCGGAATCAACCCGAATGTCCATCAACAGATAAGGGATAAACAAACTGTGGCCCGTGTACATGAGAATAACTTGGCAACGAGGAAGAATGAAGAGCCCATCCACATGCTAAACATAGATTAATCCCAGAGGCGTGGTGCTCAGTGAAAGAAAACAGACAAAAGCCACCTGCAGTATCATGACTTGTGTGCGACAGCTGGAGTGGGTGAGCCCACAGGCAGACAGCGGCCTCGTGGGTGCTGCAGCTGGATGGAGAGGAAGAGGAAGGTGGGAAGAGGCTGTTGGTGGGCACAGAGCTTCTTTTTGGAGCAATGGGCATGTTTTGGAATCAGATGGTGCCAATGGATGAACAGTCTTGTGAGACCACTTAAATCATGAATGGACAACACGATTCTCGGGAAGAACAGGAATGTTTGTTGACTAGAAAAGGAAAGTTTGTTGAGTGTGCTCTGAGCTCCCACAGCTAACCCGCACGGTAAGACCAGGCCAGCGAGCCCCATCCTGGCCAGGCCTCCCCCTCCGCAGCTAGGGCCCACGGATGTCCTGGAGCCCACGGATGTCCTGGAGCCCAGGACGTCACCCTACAGGGGTCAAGCTAACCTCTTCCGACTTCCACTGGACACCCCCATCCCAGGTACTGCTGGTCAACATGCCTCTCACCCCAAACCCTCCAGCAAGTGACCCCTTGCAACACACCAAACCACCCCCCCCCCCATCTGCCTTCTGTGCAATCACACCACACAGCACTGAGTCCACACCTCTGAGCACAGGAAACCATCGGGTAAGACACGAGTATTAAAAAAATAAGCTGCGTGACATTTATTTTGTCTTGTTAACATTAATATCTGTAGAAACATTTTTATTGTCAGTATAAAAATTAACAGGTTTTATTAAATACTTTCTCCAATTCTGTAACAAGTAAAATCAGTGTCATCTGCATTCCTCTTGCGTGGCTCGAGCAAAGTGTTTCGAAAGCAAAACGCAAAACACTAAGCCAGAAGGAGCGCGCGTCACGCTGCCCGGCCACGGTGTCAGGCCGGGTCTTCTGGCGAGGTCCTGCCAGAAGTAGATGGAAGTGATCCCTTCACAAGGTAGCAATCCCCCAAACTCCCAGAAGAACAGTTCCCCGTTTCTAGGATGAGACGTGAGGTGAAGCTCCTCAGAGTTTTCTCCCACATCAAGGAACATGGAAACTGAGCGAAATTCACCGCAGAGAAACAGGCTGATCTGACTGGCCCGCAACTCGGGCAGCAGCCAGCTACGGAGAGGAGGCTTTCGGCCACCCTCTAACTCAGGTCCATCCTCCAGGAATGAAGTAAGGCATCGTTTTGCGAGAACGCTGGTACATTTGTCTTGGGAAGTCCAGTCAAATGCGAGAAGGGCCCAGTCAGAGCTGCCAAATCTCCTTCTTCTCACGGTGATTTTTAATATGGATATTTAGGTGGTTTCAGCAGAGTTTAAGCACAAATAAATCAAACTTTATTTCCCCCCAATTAGTCATATTCTGTAAATACTTCTCTTTTCAAAGGATCTGATAACTAGTTAAGGTCAAGAATAGGTTAACTAGTTCAATGCATTGCCTGCATAGAAATGCCACTTAAATTACAAAAACAACAAAAACTATAAATGATTAATTGTTTTGTATATTACCAATTCATTAATAAATTAATGTTATACCATTTTCCCTGAAAGCAAAGTATTTTTCCACCTCTGCTAGGTGAAAATTAAGAAATTCTGTGTAAGAACAGCATTTAGCAAATAACTATTAAAAAAAGAGACCAATTTTCTGGGTGTGCTGGGACATCCATTTAAAATCAATACAAAAAATAATTCCTTGTAAATATATAATATATATTTATACATAATTTGAATATATTTACATACATCCAGCACCTATATACTGCAATTGTGCTCTGTAAGTGTGTGCTGACATATATTTTCTCCAATTATTACAAAATTCACAAGGAAGGCAGAACACAGGTTCTCCTCGAGTCCGGCTGGCCGGTAGCCAGCACCCACGGCGGTCACGGGCACAGAGCAGCCATGGCTGTCCACTGCCCCAGAAATGTCCTTCCCCAGTGACCATGACAAGCGTCCCACCGTATAAATTCTCTCCACGTGTGCCGATGACTTTCCCATTATTTACTCCTCTGGTTCCTATATACACGGGGAGGCAGCAAGCTCCCTGGGGCCTGGCCTCCCTGCCCAGAGTCGCCAGTCACCAGCTCCCTGGTGCTGTCCATTTTGGGGTCAGGAGGCCCAGCCCACTCAGGTTTTGACGCTGCCGTTCATCTGTGGGTACTGAGGAAGACATGGTTCGTAAGGCATGGGGTCCGGAGAGAAAACAGAATCATCTCCTGAAGAACAAGAGCTCCTGGTGTCAGGGTAACTGGGTGAATATTGCTCGAGAGGCTGACTGAGGTCCAGGTACTCCTGAAAGAAGGCAAGATGAGATTTCACTCCAAATGCTCCAGACTCTTATGAGGCTGGCACCGGAGTGGGGAGCACCCCAGCCCAGATTTAGAGAGCTCGCCCCCCTGGCTCCCCCAGAGGCCCCCCGGGAGCCCCCAACTAAGTGCCTAGAGCCATCATGAATAAATGCAGGTGCACTGCAGATTCGGAGGGAATAGAAGCTTGGAGCCTTCAGAAGGCTGACAGACCTTCCGTGCTGAAACAGGGAGCAGGTAGATGGGTCCCCCAGGTGGGCAGGCACGTGGAGGCGGAGCCTGGCAGCTCCCGAGCCTCCCAGCCCCCTCCAGGCCCCCGGGATCTCCGCTCGTCTCTCGGTCTTCCTCAACCGCTCGGCCCAGGTGTCTGTACTCAGAGCTACGGGCATCCCGTGCTCATCGGCGCCTCGTCCAGGTGCCTGTGCCCCGTGCTCATGCTCGCAAGCACTTTTGGCACCCAGATCATATCACGTGTGGGCAATGAAACCCAGAAGGAAAACAAGGCAGCAGGTGGTGGCTGTAGGGGCAGGAGGCGGAGGCAGGAGGCAGGCCAGGGCCGAGTAACTCCCCTTCCCTACAATCAGCCACCGGCAACTGGGGGAACGCTGGAACCTGCCTGCACAGCAGGTGCTGGGGGGTCAGTCGACTTAACAGACCCAGAAGCGCTGCCTGCCCCGCTCAAGTCCAAATCCAGCACGATGGAAAAAAAAAAAAAAAAAACTGCATGGTGGGTCCCCAGGGCCCCTTTAAATAGCCGGACCCATGAATATCTACGAAGGACACTTTACTGTTGTCATTTCGTGGTAAATCAAAGCAGAGTCGGTCTCCCTTCAGCAGGTGGCTACACTGCTCTCAGAAGCCCCGCGAGCTGCGGAGCCTGTACCAGGCTTCCCCCAAGGCCCCAGATACACTCGCGCGCGCTAAATCCAAAATGGACCCCTAAAGAAAAGTTGAGGCAAATGGAGGTTCAATTTCAAAGTTGGTGGGTTGGAATACAAACACCCTGTGCTGCTCCCGAAAAGCTCCACGGGGCTGCTGTCGGCGAGGGGCGCCCAGCGGGTCTGGGATCCCACACCTCACGGCAGACCCTGATCTCCTAGGGCCCCCGAGCTGAGAATGGGCTTTCACGTTTTTAAATGGCTGGAAAGAGCCAGAGAAGAATAATACCTCATGGCATTAAAATTATATAACATAACATAAAAAGTCATATAAAATCATGTAAAATTTAAATTTGAAGCCCGGCAAGTTTTATCTGGAACGCGGGCGTTCGCTTATGGTCGCTGGCCACCGGCAGAGCAGACTGGCGAGGGATGGGGCGGCCTGCCGGGCTGAAAACGTGGACGGCATGGCTCGTGGCAGAAGCGCCAGGGCTCGGCTCTGGGGCCGGAGTGCCAGGGCTCGGCTCTGGGGCCGGGAGCGACTGCTAAGCCCCGGCCCCGGGCGTGTGGGGTGTCAGCTTTCACACCCAGAAGCCCGCGATTCCTCGGAGACAAGTGGTTTTGCTGAGCTGGGGGCCCAGGGCAGACTGGCATAACCAGCCTCGGGTTATCAGAAAGAACCACAGAAGGGCGGTGGCAGTTTTCGAAGACCAAACAACAAAAAAGGACACGCCCCCTTATAATGCATCACCAGGCCTGGCAAGAGAAAACCCCCACCCCAGAATGGGGATGCGTCCGTTCCAACAACATCAGCATTAACCTCACAACTGGAAACAAACACGCCCGCCACATCAAAAGCCGACTTTTTGCTTACAATGATAAAAAAGAAATTTTGTCCTAAATGGAACCATTTTGCTCGGGCATATGGTAATGATTTCCAGAAGGAAAGAAACTTCGATTTTTATATCCGTTAGACAACACGGCATTCTGCTTGCTGATTTTAGGATCTGGATACCAAGTTCAGTGTGAGCGGCTCTGTACTGAGTGTGGGTGTATCAAGAACCCTGAGCGTGGCGGGGGGTCGTGGGGATGGAACCAGAGCGCCTCCCCTAATTTCTAAGAAGCCCGTAAATGTTCAGATCTGATGAGGCAGGGAGGGGGGAAACACCGGGATGTCAGTGGATTCCAAGTCTCGAGTTATAGGAACTGAAGCTAGAAACAACAGTTTTGGCAGGAGAAGAAAGTTGGTTTTTTCCTTCCCCTTGAACTGTTCTTTCCTTTCAACTTCTGAAGGTCAGCTGTCTTCATTTAAGCGCAATCTCTCCCTTTATCAGCCACAGCCAGATAGTGTCACTGGCCCAAGGCTTCCTATCACAACCGTTAATTATTCTTGTCTTCTATCATTCTGAAATTGCGCAATGTATAATTTAAAAATAAACTCTTCTTCCAGAGTGGGTGATTTTAACCAGTTTTGTGTTAAGATCACAGAGGGGTCTTTTTTCCTGTCTGGGAGCACAGCGCTGCATTCTCAATAAATCTCCCAAATGGATTCAGCAACAATTTCTCTCCAGTGGGCTTGATGGATTTATCACCCCCCTGCTCTCTCCCTCACCCTCTCGGCAGCCTCCAGTGGGGGGCTGAAGCAGCAAGGGAAGGGCGAGTCGAGACAGTGATTCTGCGGGTACGGATTCGAAATATTTTACGGAGGTAAACATTTTACTAGAAAATACGTTTTTTCATCTAAAACAAATCACACAACCAGACATTTGAGGACGCAACATTATGTCGAAGGACAATGCTGATACCTGGCACCCGTAGAGAGCCATGCCCAGTGTTACCAGCCTGCTACTGGAAAAATATAAAATTCTCTTTCTAAAGTCTAAAAAAAACCCTGCAGGGTCGTCCACTCTAGGATGCCTCGTGCAGGCTTCAGTCACGCACATGAGGAGACCCCAGGCCTCACGCCACTGCCAGACACAGGTCCGGCGGCCAGGACCCCAGTGTCAGGACCTGCCCGGCAGCATCTCTGTGCCAGCCCCGTGCACCCCGCTCTTTCCATGGAACCCAGATGCTGCCACTGGGTGCTTCTGCTCCCTCCCGCTCTCCGACAAGCCCACCCAGGGCCCACCACCCCAGAGAGCTACAATGAGGGGACCCACCACCCCAAACCCACGCTAGGGGGCCCATCACCCCCCAAAAATCACACCGAGGGGACCCATCATCCCCAAAAGCCACACCGAAAGGACCCACCACCTCAAAGTCACGCTAAGGGACCCACCACCCCCAAAAAACCACACTGAAGGGGCCTATCGCCCCAAAGCCACACTGAGGGGTTAGTGTCCAGTGGGGGCCTCTTTGGCTTCACGAGTCAGAACGCACAAGCTCTGGGCAAAACAGGGTTTGGGAGGAAGTTTCGCTCTGCCTGACCCGGGCAAAGCGGGTAAAGGGCACGCTGCCCTCCAAGCAGACCCCTCAGGGCGCGGCCCTGAGAAGCCACACTGACCGGCCTGGCGCGCCCGCGGCCGGCTCCGGAAGCAGGCCCTTACCTCGTTGGTCGTGAGAGTGAGAATCCGATCCAAGTCTTCGACCAGCTGCTTGAAGGTGGGCCTCTGGGAGGGCGCCGCGTGCCAGCAGTCCCTCATCATCATGTACCTGGGGGGCGGGGCGGTGGGCTGCCTGAGCGTCACGCGTGGCTACCAGCCCGCTCCACAGCCCGGGGGAGGCCCACCGCGACTACGAAGACGCGCCAGAACGTTCCAAACAACTAAACTGGGAGATGGGGGCCGTGCTCCTAAGGGTCCACGCGTTGGCTTCTCTGAAGGCCGCGTGGACCTGCCAAAGGGTCACTTCACCCAAAGCACCCTAAGATGGTTCCCTGCCATCCGGAAGGACACGGCTGCAGGTCACCACTGCCGGTTCCGGTGGCCCGGGGCGGGGCCACCCTTGGGTGATCAGAGCAGGGGCGGCCCGGGCTGGCCCCCCACCAACGCCTGCCTGGCCCAAGGCCGCTCTTCTTTATCTGTCTGGCACTTTGGGTTTTGTTTGAAAGATTCTAGTGGACAAAGCTTCCTCAGTTTTAAAAACCTTCGGTCGGAAACCACAACGTTCGGGACAGGTTTCTCCGAATCAATCTGCCATCGCTGGGCTGCAAACTAACTTCCTGATTAACTCGCAGAGAGGCCTGGGTTCCCAGCCTTATCTTGATTACGGGTTTCGACAGACCCTCTGTATGAGAGCGAGCAACAGTCATGGCAGGCAGCACAATCAATGCCTTTATGTGATATACTATAAAATGTGGCCATTCATCAGACGTCCACCGTACACCGCCAGGCACTCTCGGGATTACTGATATAAAATCCCCGTGAAGTGGGCACGCTAGACAGCAGTCTCTGGGACAATCTCTCTTCTGACTTCATCCTGGGGGAGGAGGACAGGCTGCTTCTCAGAGCACTGAGCTCACTGTACAGGACTGAGGTCACACATGCGACATGATTCTACTTCCAGCACGGGGCCGGCTTTTCCAGAAACTAGTGCGTAGTTTTAGGGTCAGATCTGATACTCAAAATGAGGCACTGAGGCTAACTTCAATTCCCTGCACTCAACTAGGGGGAAAAAAGGAGGCAACCAGACACCCTTCTGCTCACGCTAGAGTCAACGCGTCAGTAGCAGTTGCCGGCAGGCACAGAAAGCTGCAGAAGCTCCGTGCCCCATGTGGCCTGCTGGGCTGGGCACAAGCCCAGAGGAGAGGTGACCTGATTCTTTGACACCCCCCCCCCGGGCCCTTTAGACTATGTATGGGGGACCCATGTAAGAGGCCGAGGTCCCCCCATCCCTCTGAGTAGAGACAATAGCGCAGTGGCCTGAGAGGAGCTCCGGGCCCAGCCTGGGGTCAGAGCCCTGGGCCAGGCTGCCCGACCACCTCTGTGGCGGGAGGGGGGTCCCCCCGCACACCCGGGATAGTCCTTCCTCCTGATGGTCCTGCTGTCATGCTAGTGCCTAGCTCAGTTCTGATACTGGGCCCAGAAAGCTCCAGCAATTCTTCTTAGCAGATTATGTTTAGAAAACCAGGGGCCTTGGGCAACGGGGGGGGGGGGGGGGGGGGCAGCCAGGCAAGGTCGAGCGCTAGTCAGAGACGCAGCCTTACAGCTCGTTGGTGCAGTTGGCCGGCTTGTCCATCCTGTGTCCTTCCTTCAGTAGCTTGAAAAGTTCCTCCACGGGAATCCCTGGGTAGGGCGAGCCCCCTAAGGTGAAGATCTCCCACATCAACACCCCGAAGGACCAGCTGCAGAGAAGGGAGGTATGGTGTTACTGACCATCTGACTCACAGAAGCCTCAACAGGCCCCGTGAGGGAATAAACGCCCACGCACTCCCCAAGCTCAAGACCAATGACTGAGTCCCCTGCAGGTCATCCGCGTGCCCCTGCCTGCCCATGGAGCACCCCTAACAATGATGACATGGGGCGCTTAATGGAACTTTCCATCCCTGGCAACAGGCCAGAGAGGAGCAGCCATTGCTTGTCTACTTGGCCTCAGCGGGGCCTGGGGTGATGGTGACGAGTTCTTCTGACCCTCATAAGCCCCTCAGTAGGTGAGCTCCCAGGTGGCAGCTTGAAAGCTCTCCATGCCTCTGTCCAACTTGCCCATCGGCCGATGTGCCTGATCCTAGGGCCAGGAACTACCCGTGCACAGCGGACAGAATAGGGCCAGCAGGCTTGCCCGCCAGGTAGTGTCCGCCCCGGAACTGGGGCGCCTGAGGGCACAGCATGTCCAGCCTTTCCGAGGTCAGGAGGCAGCGAGCGCTGGGCTGGAACTGGGATGGAGGGGCCCGGCAACACTGAGTTTCACACGACAGGACCGGGAAGCGTCTCCCAGGGCGCAATTAACACCTGGCCTTGCAGAGTGCGCGTGCGCGGGCCCAGCTCCGTCCACACTCACAGTCCCGGGCAGCAGCTGAGACCTAAGCTGCTGCATGCTGTGGCCAGGACACACGGCTCTAGTCCCGCTCCATTAGGGTCAGTTTCAGAAAGCAAAGTGGCCGCTGCCCACTGCCAGCTGGGGGCGCAGTGGCTTCTATCTCAGCTTGCCCAGGGGACCCCCCCCCCCGAGGGGATGGGGTGTCAGTGCCTGCCCCAGAAATCCTCCCTCTGGCCTATCAGCTGCTTTCTATTTAACCTTTCGTTTTGGAATAATTACAGACTTGGGGGAAGCTGCAAAGGATGGTGCACTAAGCGGCCCCTGCACCCAGCTTCTGTATCAGACGTATCCTTCAACCACGTCTCCAAGTCTAGACTTACAAAACAGCAATTGCAAGCTGACCTAATAGTACCTTCCAGTGTGTGATAACACTGGTAAGAAATGTCCTATGTGATCCAGCGTTCACTGTATTTCAGTTATCAGGGATGCAAAGAGACCACTTTCTCTCCAAAGGACCAGCAGCCGAGCATGCCCCGTGGCCATCAGACCATGGCCACTCAGCTCAGCCCGGCCAGGCCAAACCCTGAGATGGGGAAATGCAAGGCCCAACCCCCCTCCCAAGCAGGTAGGAGAAATTTCAGGATTCCTTTTCACGGGGTCAAAGAACACATCTGCACACCCTTGAGGAAAGTCGGGGGGTACTTCAGCTCCGGTAGGAGGCTCCTGGCCCCCACTCCTGCTCTCTGAAGTCAGACAGTTCAGAGACAGAGCGCCGGGCAACAGCCAGCAGAAAGCCCGCCCCTTCCAAGGTCAGCCCCTGCAAGCCCAGGACGCACAAAGCCAGAGGGCACCACAGGATGAAGAAGGACGGAGAACCTAGAAGTTGCGCTACTGATCTGTGCAGAGACCAGAGGGAGGGAGTGACTTACACATCACTCTGGTGGGTGTACACTCTGTCAAACAGGGCCTCGGGCGCCATCCACTTGACCGGAAGCCGCCCCTGCGAGATGGGAGAAGGAGGAGACCCAAGCGTTAGGCCAGTCGTGTTCAGCAGCGCTGCAGGGACCAGAGTTCTGCGCCTCTCGGGAGTGGCCACTCGGCAATGTGAGAGGGTCAGTCCTTGGGGCACCCTGAGTCTGTCCTTCATGGCACAGATTTGGACACATAATTAAGTCTCCTTTCCTTGGGTTCTCTCGATGTTTGCTCGCCACGCACGCATGCGCACACACACAAGGCAAACTTCTGGACAAAATCGAACCCAGAAACTCCCCAGCTCTCCTCGTTGCTAAGAAAGTTCTGGACAAAGAGACTCTTCAAGATCCTGGAGGAGGCTGACGGGCCGCTGAGTGTTTCACCTGGACGCAGTGTCTGGACAGACCCGAAGTTTGTGAAGAGTAAGGCACAACCTGCTCGGAGAAGCCATTCTCTTTGGTCTAGAACATTCCGCACGGCCCCTCCTCCCACCACACCATAGGCACAGACTTACGTTCGTGGTCTTCTTGTAATAGTCTATGTTGTTGATGTCCCTGGCCAGCCCAAAGTCTGCTATTTTCATCACGTTGTTCTCAGTCACCAAGACATTTCTGGCCGCTAAGTCTCGATGAATACACTGAAACAGAGAAAGAACTCTTCTCAAAAGGCTTCAACTATAAAAGAGACAGATTCGCTCCTCATAATGCAGGCAGAATGTCATCTTTGAGTCAAAAACGGGTTTCTCTTCCTAATTCAAAATGCATAAACAGCCACGGCCCCGGCCACTTGGCAAAGCAGGGGGCTAGAAGCCAGCCTGTCAGGGGCCGTGGCAGCCTCACGCCAGGGCCGTGTTGTTCACCTGGGAGTCTAACTCGGCCTTTGCTCTTTGGTCCTTCTGGCCAGACTTTGGGGGGAACAGGTTACGTGTGGTTACATCATGTGAACAGGTTACATGGCATCGCGGTCACCTCCTTGTATCCCTCTCGCATTCTGCCTGTTTCCATCCCTGCCCCTGCTCCCCCTCCCCAGTCAATAGCTTATGAGAAGGTCTCCTTTTGTTTTCCTCTTTTTTTACTTTTAAAGATATATTTGCATAGGAGAACAGGGGTGCAGGCCAGAGGGGCAGGGGTACAGCGCATTCACCAGAGACAGAGCGGGGAGCAGGACAGGCAGATCGACTGAAGGACACTGCTGAGGGGAGCAGCGGGCGGGTCAGGAGAGGTCTGCCGCGTCCTGCGGGTCACTCCCTGGCCGGGAGTCCAAACTCAGGCCACAGTGGTGACAGCGCTGAGACTCAACCCCTAGGCCGCCGGGGAGGCCCTTGGTGAGAACGTCTTAACCGTCAAATTGCAACGACCTAACCCCTCCATTTCACCCTCTGGTGTGGGCACTGTTGATTTTGGCTCGTTTTGAAAACTCCCTCCCCACGCAGCCCCCCCGATCTTTCTCCTGGCTCAGTCTCTTCCTCTCCCTCCCGGCTCAGATTCCATGACGAGCCCCTCGAAGCAGGGGAATTCTCCTACTGCCTGTATGTTCCCGCATGACCTGGTGGTCCTGATTCTCAGATTCATGCAGAAGACCAGCCAAGTCCCATCTCCACCTGCCCCTAGGGCCCAGGTTCTCATGTACAACAGCCCCAGGGACGTCTTCGGACACTTCCGTTTTAAGGTCTCCATGCCCCCAATTCTTGCTCTCGGCCTCTCGGTGGAAAAGGCCGAAGGACACAGACCTCTTTACACCCCCGAGTTGTCCCCTCTCATCTCCGACCGCCTCCCTGTGTCCACCCACTCCATTCCCACCACTAACTCCCAGGCCAGGCTGCCAGGCTGCCCGACCCCCGTTCCCACTGGGGGAACGGCACGTGCCCCCTGGCATCCCCCGCTAGGGGGTGTCGCTGCCCCCCGGCAGGTCCCCTTGTTTCCACAGGAGCACCCCTGCATTCCCCAGGCCTCCCTGAAACAACCAGTCACATGCTCTCCAGACTTCGACTGCGGCCAGCGCCTGCCTGGCAACGTTCTCATCGGTCCTGGCTCCACACGCAGCTCTGGGCTGAGCAAGACTGGGCAGCCAAGAAAAGGAAACCGAGTCAGGTCAGAGTCCCATCACCTGCAAAACCTGAGTGCTGACCAGCACAGGGCTGCCGGTTCCCCTCACGGGACACTGGGGTTGTCTGATGCTACAGTTTCCTTGGCTTCATTTTTTGGGGATAGTCAGTGGCTTACTCAGGGAGGGTGACTAACACCCGCGTCCCAGGCGCATGCCAAGAGCCTCTGTCTGACCGATGGCACTAAATCCCATGGCAAGCCATGAGACGGGGGTTATTAAACCCGTTTTACAGATGGGAAATTTGAGGCTTGCTTTGAAAAGAAAAGCCTGTGCAGGTTGAAACATCTTGGAGGTATAACTGGTTCGGGGAGTTGGTAGAAAAATGAGTGTGCTTTGAACTAAAAATAGCAAGGCTTTCATAGTTGTGCTCGGCTCCAGTACGCCATTACCTGATTACAGCCTTGCGCACACCACTGAGATGCTTCTTCTCTGCCTCCCCCCACACACCTGAGCTAGGCCCGAGGCCTCTGCACAAGGGGTTCTGCCCGGATCCCCACCCAGCGAATGCTTCTTGAGCTGAATTCAAAATTCTACCCAACAGCCGGGAGCCGACGAGCGCACCAGGACCCCTCACCCTTCCTTCCAGAAGGGTCTCCGACACCCTGGGTGGGAGCGTGGGTGTCGGGGGCCTGGGGCTGGGCTTTCCTGCTTCTCCCATCTCCACCCTCGGGAACAGGCCCTCCTTTGGGGAGCAGGTTCCTTCCAACGAGATCACCTGTAGGTCTTCACCAAAACTGACCCGGCTCCTTAATCACAGGAGGCCAGCAGCAGGCGCTTGGGAGGCCGCAAGCCTTGCGGGTGACACCGCAGCGCCTTCCACCTGGGCTCTTCTACAAATAGGAGCAAAGAACCGAGACCGTCCCCCTGTCCCCCTGCCCGGGTAGAGGAGGGGCTCCCTGAGAGTCCAGGGAGGGAAGCGTTACTGAGAACAGGAGAGGCAGGAACTCCCTGCGGGTGGAGAGAGGGACTCGAGGGAGCAGAGAGAGGCCGGGGAACGGGGAGCTGAGCGGGGCAGTAGTGGGTGGCGGGCAGAGAGGTGCCAGGAACCAGCCCCTTCGTCCTGGGAACCTCAGGCCCATCTGGGAAGGGGAGAGTGACTCAGACAGGCCCGTCTGGCTGGGGAGGTCAGGTGACTCCCCAGACATCCCTCAGCGCCCGCCTCCACCAAGGGGCGCCTGTCGGCGGGGATCTGAGGTTACGTGTGCCCCTGTGCACAATGCTTGTCCCACCTGGCAGCTCCCCAAGGCTTCGTGATCAGTAATAACAATAATTACCCCGATCACACCCATAGTGAAGGTATTTACAGTGTGTTGTTCAAAACTGGGTTTTCTCGCCCAGTTTCAAGAAGCTCCCCCCGGCCCCCCGGCTCTGAGCTCGCTCCCCACCGCACCCCACACACAGCTGCGCAGAGGCAGCTCGGATGCTCGGGTCTGACGGTGCCGGGGAGCCGCGCCCCACTCTTCCTCGTGTCCCGGGGGCCCCTCCTCTCTGGGCGCACCTCCCCAGCATCCAAGCTCTAGACTGGACCCCAGCTTCCCCGACCCTCTTTCTCAGCCTCTCCCCTCCTTCGCGATGCCCCCCATACCCGGCCCATGCCCAGGGCGTGAAGCCACGCCCTCCGCTGCTGGCCCCTCCGCTGAGCCTCAGTCCAGCTGGTGTCTGCCTGGCAAGGGCTCTCAGGCAGGCTCCCAATGTGGGTTTGGGGTTGCCACCAAACCCACCCGCCACCCCCAGCCCTGCCAGCTTCCCCCTCTTGACGGGCTGCACGGATTTCTCAAGCTAGAAATCCAGGAGTTGTTGAGGCCTCTTTCTCCCCTGCCCAGACCTGATCAATTCATGGGCGAGCCCAATGGCAAAGTAGGCCCCCCGGAATACCGGCTTCTCCAGCGTGTCCAACAGCCTGCACCCAGCCCGTGAACCCTTCCAGAGGACTGGGTTCCAACCCCTGGAGAGTGAGTGCCATGGCGCGAGCTGACACGACGGCCCCTCGGGGCCCCCATCGGGGTGCCTGCCTGGGCTGGGGCCCACCAGAGGGCCCCTGCTGCAGCCTCGACCCACCCTGCTCTCCGCTGCCCGGGCGCTTACCTTCCACCCCCGCCCTCCCACGTGCAGGCTCTTTCTGACCCCACCCTGTCTGGAGGCTTCTCAGCCTCTTGCTACTTGTTGCCGACACGTTCACTGCTGACCTCTCTGCGCTCACCCCCAGGTCCTGCACACAAGCCAATTTTGATGTTCTGACAAATGTCCCTCTTTCCGGGTCTGACTGGCACCTCGAGCCAGACTGGCAGCCCTGCCTCGCCCTCCTCGCCCACAGTGGCAGACCTCAACACTGTCTGGGGTTCCTAAAATCTCTATACTGGAACTTTCACCAGAAAAAATAATACGAAGAAGGCAAACTCTGGACTCTCCTGAAAATAAAAAAAAGAACAGAATGTGGTCGTCCAGGCACCAGCTGCCCGTTCAGACTGCAGGCGGCTGGGGTGCACCGCAGCACCTGCAGGCAGGTACCTGCAGGCGCCTCCCACACCCACGTGACCGCGTGGCCATGCCCAGTTGGGGTCCCAGGGCCACGCCCACTGGGCGTCCCCGCTCTGGGGCCCCCCAGGAATTTCTGATGCTGCGCCATGTTCCATCACCTCTGCCCACGGGGGTTGTGCGTCTGGCACCTCCTGTTCCCGAGTGTGGGCTCAGATAGGGTGTCTCAGATCATCCAAAATGCCCCAAGCACCTGCGGACACCTGTCGAACTGCTTCCACAATAGCACAGACATTTCAAGTTTGCCGGCAAGTGGCAGGCATGGCCTGCGGGAGTGTGTGTGTTGGGGGTGGGGGTTGCGGGGCTACCAACTGTCACTGCAGGGGTTCACCCCACTAAAAGCAACCATAACCCCAGACTCAGGTTGCTACAATACCCCTGTGTTATCTTTACTCTGAGAATACTTAGGCTGTTCCAAACTCAAAATCAAACAGCACACCCAAAAGCTCAATAATCACAGACCAAAGCCAAAACAATCACCAGAATTACAGACAGGGCTCCCCGACCCAAGGGACCACGAGGGACTCTCAGGAGGTCACAACCAGCAGACAGAGAAACAGGCCTCTCCTGCGCTTTTGCAGGCTCTGCGGAGGGAACCTAAGCGAATGGTGCAGTGTTTTCCAGGCTGCCTGGGACAGGCGAGGCCCTGATGAGCGAAGGAGCACATCACATGGCCTGTTTCCTTCAAAGACGGCAGCGAGCCCGCCCCATGGAGAAGCATAGCCTCACCTTCTGGGAAGCCAGGTATTCCATGCCTCGGGCCAGCTGGTAGGTGCAGGACACCAGGTCCTTGAAGGTCATCTGCTCCTCGGGAACGCGGTTGATGTCATAGGAGTACTCCATGCCGGGAGGCCTCCTGGCCCGCAGGAACTCACGGAGGTTCCCCTTGGAGGCGTACTCAACGATGACGTAGAGGGGCCCTGGGGTGCAGAGGGGGTGCGTCTGAGGCCGAGGCCAGGACCCGCCCCCATGTTCGGGGAGGGGCTTCAGCTCTCATGACCCTGGGCTCTTTGTTTGGACATAGAGGAAACCAGAGTAGAGGCCTGCCTTCTGTCTCCCCCACATGATAACAGGCACGGTGAAGACCATCTCCAGCAGCCCAGAAATAAGGATGCAGGGAGCAGCCTTCTCGTCGTCCATCATTCTGCTCTCTCACCTGGGCCCTCTCGGAAAGCTACCCAGGACGGACTCCTTCCAATCCACTTAACGATTTTACACGCATCCACACACCAAGAAGCCATATATTCATTTTAATCACGTGTATGAATAACACAGGTAGAGCTCAGCAACATTTTCCATATATATTATCCTTACAGAACCTAGTTAGGCTGATAAAAATAAATTTACTCATTCCTTTTAACAGCAACCCAGGTTCTGCCCTAGAAAACACAACCATTTTTATTGAGTCGTTTCCTTATAGGGTGCTTCCAGGCCACAGCATGAACACAGAATGAGAATTTTTATCTGTGCCCTTACACCCACATGCCATCACTTCTCCACAGTGCAGACCAAAGCACAGTGCAGACCAAGGCCCACAGCCAAGGCTGGCCAGTACCCGGCACACACCGAGGTCCACTCACTCCTCACCACGACAGCAGGGCTGAGTTGCACACAGGGCCATGAAGGAGGACAGAGCTGAAAGTATTTACAATCATCCTTTAGAGAAAAGTCTTCTGACTCCTGGTACAGCTTTAAAGAGAAACCCTCTTTGGTAAAGACCAGTTGCTTCAATGCATTATCCCAGATAACTGACTTGCAAGGGTTAGCTCTGCAGCTAGAGAGTCAAGTCTCGCAGTCTTGGTAATCCAGCCGTCTGTGGCCCATACATAGCAAGACAGCCTCCAGAAAGCCCACTCTGAGGGGAGACCTTGTCAAGCAAACCCGAGTATCTTGGGTTGAGACATTCCTTAGCAACTACAAACAGTCACGGAAGGGACCCTTTCTCCAAGCCCTCCAAGGTGTGCTCTCAGCACTCACAGGCCTCGTTTACCCACCCGCCCCCAGCCCCAAGCCCCTTGTAAGGGGCTTGGAGAGGTCTGAACTACACCGAGTTGCCCTGGAAGCAAGACCCAGAATGAAGCCAGCTCTGCGCCTCCGAGGATCCGGGTGGGGGCATCTGCTCTCTCGCTCACCATCCTGGGTACAAGCTCCAAGGAGGTTGATGATATTTTTGTGTTTTCCAATCATCTTCATCATCTCCATCTCGGACACCAGATCTGACAGGTCCTTCTCCGTGGCATCATCTGCAAACATCAGTAAACTCCAGGTCAGTTTCCTTTAACCCATCAAGGCTGCCGTGAGCAGGGGTGAGCAGAATCCAACCAGCATGGAGAATTTCAGACAACCCCCCATTTTATTGGGGAGGAGGCAAAGGCCCAGGCGGGGGCTGCCTGGCTCCATGTCAAAGCACTAATTTGGGGCCAAAAGCTAGGTCTGAAACACAGGCTTCTGACACAAAATCCATGTCTTTCCTAGCAAACCCCACAGACAGGGGGGTGCTGCTTCTTTTGTGAAATAATTCCATCCTCTGGCAGATCTATGGTGCTCCGAAAAGTGCATCAAACTCCCTAATGCCTGAAAGCAACTGTGAGGACTTGTGGCCAGGTGAAGGCAGGTGGAGGCACCCCCAGACCGAGCGCCCCGAGAGCGCTCAGAGGCGGTGCCGAGCGCCCTGTGCACCAGCTGAGCACCACAGCACGCACCGCACCTGCTAAGCGTGGGCTTCCGCGCCTCCTGGGGCTTCTCACAGGGGACTATGAGCCCCCCGGCACCCCCAAAGTGCAACTCTTACAAGGCTCTGCTCTGTCAAGTCGGCAAGAAGGGCCAAGTCCTACATCCTGGGTGCGCAGCTCTGAAAAGCGGCACAACTCACATGCCCACTGTGGCAAGTTCAACATGGAAAGATCTGGGCTGATGGACACAATGAAACAAGGGCAGGGGAGAGCCTGTCGCAAAGGGTTTTTGAGCACAGGCGAGGAAGACTGGGAGGAGTGTGAGGCCCACAGGGCATGCCTGCAGGGCTGAGCTCTGCCTGGAGCGGGCAGGCCCCTGCTCAGCCACTCAGGTGTTCTCCTCCAGCTCCCAGGCACACGCTGGCTGTAAAAAAGGAGAAGGCCCAGGGCTCGGGGGCTTCGGACCTTCCCGCCCTACAGGAAGGCCAGCCGAGGTGCAGCCAGAAACTGAGCTGTCACAGCTTCCCCGTGCAATGTCCTGGGGACCTCTGGGCCCTGCACCCCCAAACTATGAAGCACTGAAAAGACACAGGAAGCCTGTGCTTTCCCCGCAGGGTGCCCTGGTCCCCGGCCAGGGCCCCCGAGGCCACCCCACACCTGCTGTATTGCAGGGCCTGGGCTCCCAAGGCAGTTGGAGCCAGGAGGCTCCCCCGTGGGTGGAAAGCAGCTTAACAGCCTCGCTTTCCTGAGGGGCCATTCGAAACGGTAGCTTAAAAAAAAAAAAGTCAGCATATTTTTGTCTATTTTCAGCCCACAGTTTCCCCTTAGGGAGGGACATGATGGCTGCCCCATGAGAACCCACACAGGAAAGAACCCCCCGACTCTCAGGACACCCCCAGCATGGCAGGAGCCCCAGGTGCCAAGAACAGATTCCGCCTGGACACTCAGCTGGGGGTCAGCTGGGGTGTGCCTCCTGGGGTCCACAGGAGGCATTCACCGTGGACTGTTCCCGGTCCCTCCTCCTGGAAAGGACCCAGCCAGAGGAGAAGGTCCTCGAGCTCCCTGGTGGGAGGCAGAAGTGGGGTTAAGGTTCCTGCAGAAGTGGCAGGCTCCCCCAAACGCAGCTCGGGTTCCATCTGGGGATGCCTCTATGTCCCGGAAGGTTCAGCACCTGCCTCAGCAGCAGCACTTTCTTGCTTTCACCTAAGAGATCTCGGGGCAGTGTGATTTCTGCTTTGTTCCTCTGAGAAAGAGGAGGCGTGGTCTCCTCTCGGGAGCCCCCTCCCCTCCCCCCCCCTTTTCCACTTTTCTTCTCTTTGCAAATTAAAGTTTGGGTCCTCAGTCTGATGTACCAACGCCCGCCTCAATTAATCACATGGGAATTGAGACGTTCTCAGCACAGGCACATACAGGGGGAGAAGAATCCCAGTCATCTATGAGGACTGAAAAATAACCCAGTTTAGGGAACAGCTCCTTGCGAACAAAACCGGCTTTTCTTTTTCCTCAGTGCACACAGCTCAAGATAAATAGTCTGTCCAGGATGCTGATTTATACTGAAAACTTCTCGACCCCTGGGTCAGCTATGTGCTCTCTGACCCTGGGCGATAGAGCTGACAGGCCACAAAAGGCACATTCTTGATAAGCTTGGCCTCCCTTCCCCCACCCAACCCGCCCCGGCACCTTTCAGCATCTTCACTGCCACAGTGACGGCTTCCTTGGGCTTCTCTTTGTCGATTCCCACCGCTTCGGCCATGACCACTTGCCCAAAGCAACCTTCCCCCAGGGGCTTGCCCAGCGTCAGCCTGAAAGTGTAAATAGGGGATTAGTGCTCAGCATCTGGTGAGGGTGTAGCGAGGGAAATTCCAGAACTAAATATAAAAATCTTTCAGCGGCTTGCGAAAGCATGGAGCATTTATACACGGAATTAATGAGACCTGGGGTGTACACGCTGGGGCGTTCTGGTGACGTCACACAGCCAGCATGTCACTTGCTGGCTGCACACGTGTTGCAGCCTCAGATTCTTTCCAGGAAGATGTCTTTGGAGGCGAGGTGGTCAGCTCGCCTCCGTGCTATCAGGAGGAGATGCTGATCTCCAGCCAATCAAATATTCGTACTTCAGAATGTCTCAAGGAAAGCCAGAAAAGCTGTTCTTATTTTTGTCTGTGAGGTCTTTAAAATCCTTAGTCAAATACCAACGGATTTCGCGGTCACAAGTGACGAATCTTAAACACATTTCAAGGAATCTCTAGTTCTTGGCTAGAGAAAATTCTAGAAATCAGGGAGAATTTCTTTTTGACCGTAACAACTTAGAAACCCTCATGACCCCCAAGTGAATAATGAAGAAATCCACAGTGACTGCAACCAACGCAATCCCTGAGCTCGGAAGCCTTAATGCCCCCATGCTGGTGGCCGCCTCTGTCCCTGGACATTCCCGAAGCCCCAGAATGGAAAGCGCGACAGAGCGCTCATGAACGTGAGTGTTTCACTCACGCGCAACACAGCCCAATATTGAGCTGCCCTCAGCAAGGGGAGTCTGCAGTAAGCACACAATGGTTTGCAGACGCTCAACATAAAGACCAACGGCACCACACGCTAGGCTGGGGTCACTCCGTCTCTCCTCTGAACTAAAATTAAATTTAATATCTTGGCAGAAAGTAAACATTTGCATTGGAAAAATGGCTAATTTATGTCCAATTGCCCTGCTCCTCCAAGCCTAACAAGGCTTTCTTTGTGTAGCGTTGGCCTCCGATCTAATAAACTACTTCTAAATAGCCCTCATTCATGGAAATCTGCCCCACCTACGGTGGTGCCACGCACTGTTTTGAAACGCTCAGCACTCAGATTTTCCACACTCAGGGTCCCCCCGTGGGAGCGACCAGCTCGGCACATACAGAGTCCACTGTTGATTTCGGCGTCACAGGTGGCGACTCTCAGGCACTGACCCAAGAGCGGGGGCTCCTTAAAATACGATGGCAGTTCCCCGCTCAGGACGGGACTTGCACACAAACCCCACTCCATGCCTAAGCAAAGCAGGGGGCTGGGAGACTCCAGAGAGACACCCCCTTTCTCTCTCCACCTTCTACAGGCAAAGAAACCGTTCTTCATGCTTTCTCTGCACCTCCCAGGACATGTTCAATAAGCAGGAATGAACAAATGAATGGTCAATACACTGAGGGTTACGTCTGCCAGCACTAACAGGGTACCTGGACAGTCACTTGGTCCCAGCTCATGGGGCACAATTAAGGGCTGCTGGGAGACACAGAGGGTGTGGACTCTGTGAATCAAAATGGTGCGCACCATGTATGTGCCTCTCTGTCCACACAGAGCTCCTGGCCTCCAGCCCCTGGGTGAGCTGATCTCTATTTACAGAGTTGCACATGAGCGTAATTAAACACCCCTTTCTCTGACATACGCTCCAGGAGACACCCAAAGGTCAAGACAAACAGGATCGTCGACCACAGCCAGTGAAATGATCTCTCTCACTCCTGTAGACATCATCCGAGCAAAACCTTTGTGGCTCAGAGTCACAGGAAGAAAATTTCAAGCCCACAGCCCCAGGTGACCTGGCGTCGCCACTCGGGGACATGCCCAGCAGAAACACTCACTTATCTCTTGGGAACTCCCACTTTGGGTCTTCTGGCAGCTCGTACTCAGAGACCCCAGCCAGCATGGGGGTGTCTGCTGTTGAGGAGAGTCGCGTCGTTATCCTCACCAGAGGGGTGTTGGAGTTCATGGAGGAGCTGGACTCAGCAGACACCTGGATACAAAATGCAAAGACACCGAGATGTAATCCTGGTTCCCCTGCGCAGGCCGGAGGCTGCCGGGAGCCCAGCCAGATGGGAACCGGTGGGGCTGGCTGAAGGCACGGGACGAGTCTGGGGGCAAAACCCAGTACGCTCCAGTCCTGTGCTCCCGCCTACACAGCACTCACTTTCATCAAATTAGATGTTCGCAATACCTGTTTTCCGACACCTTTAGACAGCACCCGATGAGAATGTGTTTTCTTTCTGTCCTAACTCCCCAAGACAGTTGCTGAAGGACAGACACACCCAGAAGTTGACTCTCGCTTTTCTGCCTACTCTGCTGATCCCGGGACAGTCAAGCTCCCTGTCACCAGCTCAGCTCATGAATGAATCAATGCTGTCCTTGTGGGACTCCATTAAAACTGGCAGAAAAAACAGCCCCTCAGTATTTCGTCTGTCTCTTATAAAGCAGAAGAGCCCGAGAACTGGCTCCAGGGCCTGGGTATGAGAGGCATTCTGGTGGCCCCCAGAGCCCGCACGCCAGTTCACCCGGACCCAGACCCCGGGGACAACTGGGGACCCAGACCACTTGGGAAAAATCAACAGCCTCTTGCCAACTTCAGTTTCAGTAAAAATTTCAGTAGAAATTTGAACACACGAGGCAAACAGTCAGTGTTGAAGAGCACATGCTCACTGAGTTTCCTGGGAAGTCCCTCCCCACCCGGCACCCCACGGACTTCACCTGCCCACTTCAGTTGCCAGTCGACGTCGGACAAAACGGTTATTTTTCTTTTTTTAAAGATTTATTTATGTGTACAAGAACTGGGGTACAGGCCAGAGGAGCGGAGGGTGAGAGGATCACCACAGACAGAGCGGGGAGCAGACAGGCAGACTGACTGAAATCCACTGCTGAGGGAGCAGCGGGGAGACAGGAGAAGCCTGCTGCGCCCTGCGGGTCACTCCCTGGCCGGGGATCGAGCTCTTGCTACAGTGGCCGCAGCCAGCTTCATAATGCTGTGCTTTAACCCGCTGCGCCACCAGGGAGGGCCCCCAAAAGGGTGGTCTCTAAAATCATCATCTTCCATCCTCTGCTTCTTATGATGGAAAACACGCCCGCCTGATGGCCATTTCTGAGGGTCCGGGCTGCCTGAGCACTCCTCATCTAAGCCTGTCCCAGGACAGGAGGAAACCGCAGTGGCAAATAGAGTTTAAGAACAGAAACACCTAACGTTCAGCCCAAAGTAGGCTGCTCAGCCGCTAACCTATGACCCAAAGGGGGTCTGAGCCCATGAACCGTGGCCGACTCCACATACAAACACACCTTTCCCCAAACAGTGTCTCTGCAAGGCTTAGTGCCAATGCTTTGCAAATGTTACTGCCATGATCGTTACACAGTTTAAATCCTGTCTACAATTTCTGGTCACCGCTGGAAATTTTGCTCAGGCGAAGTTCTAGAGGTTTTGAGTCCATGTACAAATCTGGAAAATACTTTTAGAAAAAACACAATGTGGGAAGAAAGGTAAGAAAATGCCCAAAGTATAAGAACGATAGGATTGGATCGCTGTCTGCTGAGGCGTATCTTAATTCCACCTCCACGCATTTTTACTATGCTTTTAAAAGCCCCACTGGGGCTGTAACCCAGGTCTGGCTTTCTCTTCACTCCCGAGCGAACCTGCTGCAGGGGCTTGGCACGGGCCTTTGTCGGGCCCCTCCATAGAAGCCGGGGTTTCACCAGCGCACCCCCATGATGCCCCCCAGGCAACGCCCGCTGCCCCCCACATGTTCTTTCACTAATCCAAGCCCTATCAGATGGTGACTTCGTTTTCTGCACAAAATCCTAATCCCCCCATACCCGCTGGTTTTCTTCCTTTCCAGAGTCTCCTTTTTTCCCTAATTTAAAAAGATTCCATGGCAAGTGATCATTAGGTTATTTATAAACAATAAGCACGAACACTCGAAGAAACTGTCTTACCCCAAGTCCTGGCAGGCAACCATTTCGGTTTCCTCACTTTCTGGAATCTCTTCACCACGTGCCATAAATCAAGCTTTTAGCTAAATGTGCTTTCTGTGGGCTTCCACAGCCCATGTGGGAGATTACGCAAGGAAGTGGTTTTTTCTTTTCTTTTTCAAGGGCCACCAAGAAGTGGTGTTATCTCTTTCTACCAGATTAGAGGGAACAGCCAGGGGGACCCCACCCCCCCCAGAGAAAGGGACAGGAGCAGAGACACCACAGGCAGGCGTGAGGATTATTTGTGTGTTTACTCCTGGGCTGCTCCCACAGCCAGTCAGGGGCCCTCTGGGGCTCAGGCTGTGGACCGCCCCTGTCGCCAACAGTCTCCAGCCGGCAGCTGGTCTGCAGGCACAGGCGTTTTGGAATTGGATCCATTTCTCCCTTCACACCGTTCAGGTAGCTCGGGGAGGCAGTGGATCGCTCCCTCACTTTCTCCTTAGCAAGCTTCTGCCCCCAAACCTCCCAGGCTCCCTGAACAACTCGCCGGAGCCAAGGCCCCCGGACCCAGCAAGGCTGGCTCTCAGAAGCCGGCAGCCACCACCGTGGTCAGAGGCCCGGGGAACGGGCATGCCCGTCGGAGGCCGAGGAGAGACCAGCCAGGCGGGGCCAGGCCGGGCAGGCGCCTGTGGGTGAGGGAGGACCCGGCCACGCTCCCCACGGCCCCTGCCGCACCAGGTGTTTGCTGGGACCAGCGATAGGCCAAGAGTCCAAATCCAGAAACTTCCACAGTGATATGTTTAGGGGCAAGACAGGAACTGGACCTCCCTTCCCGGATCTGGTGCTTAATGCCAACTATTTGCCGCACCTCACACTGGCGTGAACCCCACTTTGTCCTCGTCACAACATCCCTGGGAGGCGTCGTGTGCCTCAAAGGCACTGTTATAAAGATGACCTGGCCTGCTCTTGGTTTCCTCGAGGCCGATCTACCTGCACCAGCATCAGAGAAGGCCGAACCGCGAGCTGAGAGACGAGCTCACCTGCACAGGTGACTCTTACATCGCCACCCCGCCCTGTGGAACCTTCCAGCTTCATAGCGAAAGAAGTTGATGTACTCACAGCTTTGCTGAGAACCTGATTCAGCAAGCCAGCAACACCCTTGCTCTGAACCCACATCCTCACCTTCCAGGCGAGCTCCCCTGCTGCCTGGAGGCCGGTGCAGGGCACAGGAAGAGAACTTATGGCGGTGGAGGCTGCCTCGCCAGTGGCCTTGGAGGCCAGCGAGCTGGGTGCCACGGAGGAGCAGGGGAGCAAGTGCCCCACAGGCATCCCCACCCCGCCCCCATTGGGCCGTAGACTCCACGGGGCACCCGCCTTACCCTGGCGAAAAAGCTGTGCTTTCCCCATTCATCAAAAGCACAGCCTGGAAAAGTTCAATTTCTCCTTTGGTCCTAGCACAAAACAGTTTTGACACAAAATAACAAACTGAAATGTCTGTCTTAGACCAGTAAGTCCCCTACAGATTAGTTAGATTAGTTGAAGCCAACAAGGAAAAACTCGCAATGGGAGACACACACACACCACACCCCTTCTCTCACTCTCTGTGAGAATATGACGGATGTGACTGAGCGGGAAGCCTGCAGGAGAGGGGGCGGGGCCCAGCAGGCAAAATGACACCCTTTCTGGAGAAGCTGAGGGCTCCTTGTGTGGCAAGGGGGGCCCTCATGGCAGGAAAAGCGGCCCCGCCATGCCTTGGAGCAATCCACCTCGCGACTCCTGGTTATAGCTCACCTGTGGCCAGGTAAAGGCATGCCTGGCATCCCGGAGGTATTTCCTCTGTCATCAACATCTCTGCTGGCCTCCCGGGGCTTTTCACTCCAGTGACAGCCCAACGGCCCTCTTTCATGCCCCAGAGAGGCATCTCCGCCCCCACATTCCTCCCTGACACGTGGCGACATCCCCAAATAACCATCTCCCAGAGACTGGCTTCTGCGGGTCCTCACCTCCATCTCTCCTCCTGCTGACTCCTTGGAAACTTGAGGCCACGCTAAGCGCCCCAGCAACCCGGGAGCCGCTGAGGGTGACAGGCCAGTGTGACACATGCCTGGGCGAGGCCAGCCCCCCGGAAATGAAGTGGAGGAGGGAGAAGATAGAAGGAGACCGAGTGTTCTCTTCAGCCACACAAGAGAACAAGTCACCAGCCAAGGAGGACATCGAGGAAAGGCCAGTCAGTGGGATGGAGGCCAAGAGATGACAAGGGCGGGTCAGGCGGTTTCCGGGGTTTCTGCCGCTCGTGTATTGAAAAGACCAGTGTGACCGTTGCCGGAAAGAGGAGAGAAGATGAAACCGTTACAGGGCGGTGGCCTGACAACGCCCCATCACAGGTTTCTTCCAGAACACAGCGCTTCTTCTCCATTAGACAAAAAGTACTAACGGTGGGAACACCACTCCCTGTTTCAAATCCCTAAGGTCAAGCTCTCAGGAGGGTGGCCATAAGCATGACCCAGAGGAAGCTGGTGGAGGGCGGGAGGGTGGCCCCCAGAGGTCACTGAAGACCAGAGTCGGCTGGGGTCCTGGGAAAGACGCTGGTGTCATTTTAATAACAATAGCAAAGTGATGGCAGGAGTGATAAATGGAAACCCCCTTCCCCTGCTTTTAACACAAGTTAGGCGTCCCCTCCCCCCGCCCTGGACACTCACCCCCCACCTCACCCCCTCCTGGGAAGAAAGACCTGCTGGGGATGTGACTTCACAGGGGTCAGTGAGGACCATTCGGCCTGGGGTTTGCAGCTGGACCGAGCGAGGGCAGCCGGACCCCACCACAGCTGCTGCCCACAGGCTGGTTTCCAGCCCTTCCTGATGCCTCCCCCACGAAGTCCGAGACACAGGCCTGAGATTACCCCAGAGTGCTCAGGTGCATCACCAGGCACTTGCAAAATCCCTTCGTCAGAACCGAGTTCCAGGTACTTGATACACACTCTGTGCTCACACCTGCAGGCCCACCACCTCAGCCCTGTTCCGCTCCCCTCTGCAGGGCTTTGGGTAAAGGAAGGCTTTGGTGCAAGCTCTATCCCACCTGACTTCTCCAGAGTCAAATTAAACCTCTGAGGAGGTACATTCAAGCAAACAGTGACCACCAAAGACAACCACCAGGTTAAAAGCCATCATCGCCCATTTAATATAAAAGTCACTTCACCCATGAATCCTCAGTCACACCTGTCAACTACTAACATTGACATCATGCATCTAAAAATCAGGCAGTCTGGGCCCAAGTCAGATTAGGAAGACATCACAGGGCCAGCTGAGTTGGTAGTAATTTGGAGTCACCTCCCAGGCAGTTTCTGATCGTGAGTTATTACATAAGTCAAAGAGCTACAACCATAAGCCTGTCTCCAGGAAGCGTCAGATCATAGGGGCAAGGTGGCCTCGCTCTGAATCCGCCACGCTCTTGATGCTCTTGTAGGGCAGTTCTGACCCTGCTCTAGGAATGGCGAACTGTGGGTAGCAAAATGGTAGCTGGACAGGCTACCATTAGGATGAACAGCCCACAACCCTGGACACTGCCTCCGTGTACTTCAGCCCTGCTGATCAGTTCTCAGATCCTCGTAGGCTGGCAGGTCCAGGAGCTAGACTGAGGTGACCCCGGCCACACACGGGGACCGGACCCCCAAGCTCAAGACCGCCGCCTCTGTACACGAACCACTGCGCGGAGGGCGAGGCCCAAGGCTGGCTGGGCTGGGGGCGGGCAGTAAGTTCTTCAAACTCTTTATCTACTTTCTGTTACCTGTCTCCGCAGGGGGATGCGCTTGGTCAGCTTGTGCACAGCCGGCTGGCTGCTGAAGTCCGGCTTCTTGGTCGTGGCCTTCATGCGGCACAAGATGACCGTCACCACCATGCAGGCGATTAAGAAGACCCCGATGCAGTAAATGGCTATCTCCAGGTAATCTGGGGAGGCCGTGATCTCCTTTTCTCTTGGGGGAGCTAGATTGCAGACCGCAGGGAGGAACAGATAAGCAGGCCACAGAGTTAGAACACAGAAGTGAGGCATCGTGACACAACTAGAGGAATCCAAAGTACTTTAGACCGTTCCCCAGGTGGGACAGGCTTCCCAGATAACTCGGGGCCGCAGAATGACGTGGAGCGTGGTGTCAGGAGCCTCGCCCACCGAGAGCTCGGGCTTTCCCCACAGGGCCCTGGTGGCCATGAGCCAGGGGGCCACCTGCAATCCATGGGCAGGTGGGCTGCCGTCCAGGTACAGAGGGCAGGTCACAGGCCGTGTTCTACCAGACACCTGGGCCGAGGGGATTCATCAGTCCCCCCACAAGGACGGCCTTCCATGGGGGACTCTGATGCAAAGCAAACTAGAAATTCTCAACAGGAGCAGTTTTGTTTCCAAAAGGCCCCACTGGGGTAGGCTCGTCCAAGGGAAGCTGCCATGGGGTGGTTCACCCCAGATGACGACAGTGCAGCAAGGGACATACACAGCCCCAGTGGGCTGGTCTGAGCTTCTGCAGAGGCCACCCTGTAGTCCAGCATATTGTCCGATGCGACACACAAATTACTTAATAGGAAGGCTGAGTGCCTGTAGTATGAACAGTTATGTCCATACTATAAAGTTTCTAACATTTCTTACTAACCAGTACAATTTGGGGGGACCTGGTTAAGCTGCTGTGCCACGTTATAACCGAAATGGCGCTCCAGGTGAGCCTACATGTACTCACTGCCCCTGCTGAGCCCTCCACTCGCACTCTACAAGCAGAGTGCTTGCAAATCCCGCTTCTGACTGCGCACTCCGGGTGACAGGGCGAGCGCCGTCAGGCACACTGGTTAAGAGGGGCCCCCAGGGGACTCGCAAAGGCGAAACTGCAGTAGAAGCAAGCGCAGCGTCAGAGGCCTCGCCTTGTTTCAGAAGCGAATACTCGCAGAGCAGATTCACAACCAAAGGAAAATGGATGCAATGGTATTATTTAAAGCTTAAACATTTCCATCAGAAAACTACTTGCAAGAGAGTCAGAACTCTCAGCAGCACAGCACAAATGAAACGAACGATTTGTATGTACTAGCTCTAAAATAAGCATGCAGGTAGGCACCGTTCTACAATTAAGAAACTAGTAACTGGAATGCAACATCACGCGCTGCACAGTCTAGGCAGGGTCACAGAGGACGTGACAATGAGGTAGCTGCACCAGCAGAGAGGAGGAGAGAGTGTGGCGAGGGAAAAGGCTCAGGCAGCAGCCGCGAGAGGCAGCGGGCTTCAAGGATGTCGCGTTCTGATAGCAGAAATCACATCAAGCCCGAGCAGGCAGAGCATGCTTTGCGGTGAAGCAGGCAGAGTCAGGCTACAGCAGCATACAGCAAGTCACCGATTCCCAAGGCAGGTCACACACTGCTTCTGTACGCCCTGCATTTGGGGTGCTTCTCCCCGGGACCTCAACAGCTGTTTACATCTCACTAGAGCAGAAGGTGAACTAAAGTCACCAACGTGCACGTGGGGTTATATCGAAATGGAATTTGACTCGAGAAGACATCGCTCGTAATTCACAAGCATTTTTAAATCCGTGAAAGCGGTGTGGGCGAATTTGGGCGCTGACTCACTGGCTTCCTAAGCATCCTGTCCCATGGGTTTCAAGGGGGGCAGTTCATGAAGGCAAGTACAGGAATTGCCAGCCTCTCCCTCCCAGGGGATCGTTTTAAATATCTTTTTTTTTTTTTTAACTTTATGCAGGGATAAAAGGGGCCATTTCTGAGAACAGAAGCTGTGTTAATTTTATAGCAATCAACCAAGAAAAGGAAAAAACCATGGAGAGAAAGAGCAGTATATACCTGGCAGAACTGTCAACCATGCAGAGTGAAAGGAGATCCCAATAGAATTACCCGCCAAGCACGTATATTCCCCAGCATCCTCAAAAGTTACATTCCGAATATAGAGAACCTCAATCTCTTTGTCCGTGGTGTTAACACCGGCAGCCTAGAAAACAAGGAAGCAAGAGAACAGGCTAGACAACACCGGAATGAGGGTGTAGGGGCCACGGGGCCACAAGGCGTGGCAGCGGGGACTCCTGGCCGCCGGCAGGGTCACCTGCACCCATCCACAAAGCCCACGCCCCAGCGACACGGAGCGACACCCAGCAGCTCACCTCCAGGCCCGTCACCACACCGGCTGCACCACCTAGACACGCATGCAACCAAACACATGGAAAAATCGGCCCACAGAGATCTGTTCTCGTGGCTTCACTGTGTTTTTGAGTTTGGGGTGGTTTCCCAGAGTGATTGGCTGGGTTCTGGTCCCGCTGGCTACAGGCGCCCACCTTGAGAAAAGGAGGGTTCTGTCTCGTTTCTTGGGTTGTAAAACCAATCACGGCACCTCAGGCCGCGGGGGCGGGCGCCGAGGACCCTCCTGGCCCAGGGGAGGGAGGTGTGCGCCTTGGCCAGGCTCTGGTTACTGTAGCTCCTGCTTATCCAGCCACCTGGACTTCCACGCCACTGGGAGCAAATGGAGGCAAAGCAGGATCTGGGCAGCAAAGAACCTGGACTTTTCTTGTGTAATAGAAATGCTTGCAGGTGCGCCAGGACAAAGGCAAAAGCCCAGGGCTTGGAAGCGCCCGGCAGGGTATTCACACAGGAAATGCCCTGTCCCCAAATTCGGGGTGACCCGAGGGTAACTCAAGGTCAGTATCTCCTAAGTGCCAAACGACCAAGAAAAGCTATTTTGTGGGACACTTGCATTATGCTAATATGCCCCTCAATACCCGCAGGAGGTCTGATGCCTGCGGATAGCCGGCGCCGACGAGGCAGGAGGCAAGCGTTCAGGGCGTGTGTTTAAATGGCGTCCAGGCGCAGTAATGAGCAGAACCGGGCAGCCCCAACGAGATCACCCAGAAGGAGCAATTTAAAAACGGGTGGGGGCGGAGGGCCACCTTCAGCGGGAAGGAGAGCGAGCCCTTAGAACACGTGGGCATTTTTCCATGGCCGCTGACAGGACGCCAGCTGCATCACCAAAGAAAGACCATGATGAATAGACCAAGGCCACAGTCACCTAGAAGCTGCCTGCAGTCTCCCAAAGCACCAAGTGTTTTCAGCTTCTATATCCAGCCTTCTTTGGAGGAAAAAAAAAAAAAAAAGAACAAAACAAAAACATTGTTACCTTGCAGTTTGGGCAGGACAGTGAGCCAGGCAGACTGGTTGGCCTGCCCTATATAATTGGAGACCTTACATATATACTCCCCAGCGTCCGCCTCAGTCACATTGAAAAGAGCCAGCACCTCGGCATTGGAGCTATTTATCCCCGAGTGCTGGAACAGACACAGGAGAACAATGTAACGGCCAGCCGGAAGGACATGTTGTCTAGGTCCCGCCACCAAAACACCACACACGAAAAACAACAAAACTCCTCTATGTCTGAGCAGCAGCTTGAGCTGGGTGTTTAGGGAGAACAAAATAAGTCAGCAGGTGGATAAGGGAAGTGACCCAGTGGACGCAGGGAGGGGCAACGTGGCCAGCAGATGGAGGCCGGTCATCTCTGCAGCTCGGCGGTCCTGCTCAGCTCCCTGCGGTTCACTGCAAAGCTGCACCTCTGAAAAAGAGTCTCCTCGTGGGCCTTTCTGTCGGAGGCAGGAGCTAGGAAGCTCTCACCGCCCTCAGGAGGAAGGCAGGTGGGAAAAAACAAAAAGCCTGAGGCTACAAACATAGGGGCTTGCAGGGAAACAAGGGGAAGCGATGTTCCTTGCTCAAATGTTCATTAGCACCAACGTTTTCTAAAGCATTATTGTCCGGGGCTGCGTGTGAGCCAGTCTCCACGGTTAAAGGGTTTCTTGCAAGAGAAAATCGGCATCGTTTTGACAAGGTGGCTACTAAAATCTGATCCTAGGGCCTCCTGGGAGAAAACATGTGTCACAATCCACACCGCGGAGCGCCCGGGGGTGCGGAGCTCGGCCATCCGGGCACTGGACACCCCTCAAGGAGGAGGGGTCAGCGCCCAGGGCCAGCGTGCCACCGGAGACGCCAGCTTTCCTGGCCCTGCCCCACATCCCCTTCCCTTCCGAGAGGTCACCCGCCGTCGGCAGGCCCCCCCAGTCCTGACACTCTCTTCTGGCCAAGTAGAGAATCACCTTCTCTCAAATTCACCAGGAATAAAGGGGGCTGAGGAGCCCCGTGAGGAGGCCAGCTGGTGGGCCCTGCAGACCCAGAAAGTCTCACCTTGAGGACCTTGAGGTAGGGCAGCCCGTCGGGTCCGTATTTGCTGCCGTTCTTTTCCACGTGTTTGATCCACTGGATGTGGGGCTGGGCGTCGCTGTACACTTTGCAGACGAACTCCACGTCGCCGCCGACCACCGCGGAGGCGTTGGCGGGCAGTCCGGCCTGGAGGATGGGCCGGTGAGGCGACCGCTCTGGGAGGGAGGGGAGGGGGAGGGGAAGGGATGGGCAGAGGGAGAGAGGAACACGTGAGGTGAGCTGTGGGGAGGCTGCTCGTGAACTCAAGCCAAAAGGGCCTCGCGTCTGCTGGCTGACTCCTCTGAAATAACACGGAGGGCCAGTGCGAAGCAAACCGGCTTCAAAGCAGACCGCGGGAGCGCGACCCTTGTAAAGGGAACATTTATTTAGCAAGCAGAGAAAGAACATTCTATTGGATGTCTGTGGCCACCTGATGAACAAAAGAGAAGATTGGATCTTCACAGCCTAAAGCGGGCGGCCGGGCAGGGCGCCTGGCCACCTGTGACCTGGGGGACCATCGGCCCCCACCTTGACCACAGGACAACATCCCGGGCAGGGACAACACTGGCCTTCGCACAAAGACCGGCCTCTACCCACCGCATCCGTGACACACTTATCAGATGCTCTGGACAGACGCCATCCCTTGCTTTAAAATGAAAATAAACTAAAAGTAAACCCAAAGGCATGAGAAGCGAACGCACAAATGAACTCATCTCTCCGCCCTGGAATTCGCAGCACGGACTCATTCCGTGCGCGCCCACAAATCTCTCTGATAAACACGAGGGGCCCCTGCCCACTCGGGGTGGCGCGGCCCCGAAGGAAACCCAGAGGCGCCGGCCCCCAAATCCTGGCAGCCTCGGACCATGGCACAGGAGGCCGCCCGAGGGAGGCTAGCAGTGGCTCCCGCTCTTCACTGCCCTCCTGCCTCTTCCAGACAAGTTCCCAACGAGGGACACCCCCTCGTGTGACTTCTGGAAAGGCTCCTCTCCGGGGTGGTCTCTGTGGAAATCTCATCAAGGAAACCAGGTCAAGGGGGGTGAGCCACGGCACACAGGGTCCCCGCAAATCAAGCCACAGACCAGTCTGCAGCGTGACTGTCCGCCGAGACATGCTGACCGTGACTGGACTGGAACCTTCCAATCATGGGTCTCCGTCAAGGGCTGCCCATCCCCAGTTCGCCTGTCCGTTCGAGCCATCATGCACACGTGCGTGGGCCAACACCCCACGCCCCACCCCCGGCTTCGGTAAGCTCCAGCGTAGAACAAGGCCGAGGGGATGAGGAAACTCCGGCTGGCCCGGGCACCGACCGAGGGCGCCGAGCACTGGCCCGAGTCCCGCGTATCACAACCAACGGCCAGCTGCAGACTGCCAGCTCCTCGTCTTTCTGGGGGCCCTTCGGGTGACAAGGTCAGTAGTAGCATGTGCTGGGTGCAGCCAGGCCAGGTACTGGTCAGTTTACTACACGAGCCTGTCTCGAAAACCATAAAAGCTCAAGAGCGTTACATTCTAAAACTTTCCTTTCACAAACATGTACATTTTCACATTAAAAAGAGGCCCAAAGGTGCCCAGTGTCACTCACGTAGCTCGAGCAAGAAAAACCCTGAAATCAAGACTCGTGGTTTTGGGGGTCAGAACATCTCAACGCTGGGATTTTCTCCCTCGAATAGCTGCAGAATCCGAGGTGTCCGGCTGATTCAGCGTCCAGCCTCCCTGGCAGCCGGGCAGTGATGGGGGAGGTCAGGCTGGAGCCCCTGGCTCCCTGCACTGATAACACGCTTGCTCCTCCCCTGGGAGGGGGACTCGTGAGGAGGCGGCTCACTCCCTGGCCTGGGGTTCCTGTTTTGCACAGGCCTGCATGTGTGTTTGTGTGTCTGAAACAAATATTTGCAGCGGCCCTAAATATTTAGTCTTACAAACAAAGGTACTGTAAAATCTTAAGTGTCATAAGCCAGATCAACTGAATTTCGACCCAAGCCCTCTTTCTTAAACATACTTGTTTCTAATAAATCGTTTCACAAGCAAACATTGTGTATGTGATACCAAAGAAGGGCGCCTGGGAACAAGGAGGGCTTTCATAGCCTCTGTGGCCTGCCTGCGCCCGCCTCCCGCGGGGGACCGCTCCGGGGAGCACTGGCTGGCTGCTTCTCAGCTGGTTATTAAGTTATCCAGCCGCTCCCCAACTACTCTCTCCCTCGCGTGCACACACCTCGCCATGGCTTAATGTTATTGCATTTGCACATTACAGCAGACTGGATGTTACCCGCGCGCAGCCCTGAATTCATCCTTTCAAATTTTCTCACCTTAGACAAATAACCTCTTGCCACCCCGCCCCTCCCTGCTCCGCCCTTTCTCGCTTTGGGTACAAAAACTGCAAGCAGGATCGCTCTGTAATGGAAACCTTACACCGTCTTCCAAAACTTATTACAGCTGCCTTCGGTATAAAATGAAACTTTAGAGAATGATCTTTAAAATGTTTCTAAAAAGTCAGTAGGCCTCATGTTTCGTTTCTCCACATCAGGCTTTGATTTCCTTTGCAACCTTATTCTCTGCCCTTAACCAAGTCGGAGAGCGAAGCCTGAAGCCGCCCAGGCTGGGCCAGGATGCCAGTATCTTCTCAGACTGCCCACCAGCCCCACAGAGCAGCGGCGGTCAGAGCAGGGGTGACAGGGTGTGGGGCCCCCGCCTGCTCTCTGAGAAGCTGGGTGCAGAGGGCAGGCTGGGCGGAGGGCCCGCCAGAGCCTCCGTGGCCAGGCCAGTGGGCCTGTGGGCAGTGGCACGGGAACAAGGCCATGGTTTAGGGACCCGGCGCCCTCCACCCCCATCTGCAGCGCTCTCCCTGGGACCTCACGTGTCCCAGAGGGCTGACATCAAAAGACTGCACGGACGAATTATCTGTGGATGAGAGCATGAAGCCCAGAGCTGGCCCATCTCTTGTTCTTCTCTGTGATAACAAACATCACATCTTTCCCACCAGGGAGAATTTACAGTTTCAGGCAAGGTTCTGGGACGGCATGCTGAACTGGCAGGCGTGCTAGAACACAGACTGTTCTCTTTACGGGAGTGAGATAGAGAGTGAACAGGACAGTGAGCAAACCAGTTTCTTTACTACAGTTTCAAAGAAAAGAGGTTCTGAGCCTGTACTGGTACACAATGCACGGACCCAAAAGAGGATGAGCCTCTCTAAAAGAGCGACTCCGAGGCTCCCGTGTGAATTCCTAATGAAGACAGCGTGGAAAGGCTTCCCAGGGGCGCGGCTGCCGCTGGTGGGACAGTTGGCTGCACCCCTGGAATGTGGCTCCCCCAAGTAAACGCATAGTAAACAGACCAGAGCGCTTCAGAACTGCACTCTCTCTCTGCGCTCACCCACCCCCTTCTGTCAAGTGCTGCCAATGAATCCACTTGACTAAAACAGAGGGTCCAGTGCTAAGAGTCTCTCTAAATACAGATTGACTCAGCTGCCAGGAGGCAGGCGGGAAAGAGCCTGCATCCTTCTAAGAGGTAATTATGGGAGAATACCTGAGTGACAAAGAATAAATCTGTATTAATTGACCGTAGAAACTTTACAGCGTGTCGGTGAAGTTGGACCTAAGAATATGTGAGCTCGAAAGAGATCTACAACTTCTGTCTTGACATAGCAAAGGCTATAAAAATGTCCACAGAGTTCTGGAAGTTCATGTCTGCAGGCTCAGTAAACATACATCCAGCGATCAAGAAAACCAGGTCCTTAAATTATACCTATAAATGAATAAACCCAGAATGGGTGTCTGTCCAGCACCTTCTGGCCTGCTAAGCTCTTTCTCCCCCGAAGTTACACTGCGCTTGCCACCAAGAACCATTTCAAAATTGCTCGCTGGAGCAGCAAACATAGACAGAGACTCCAATCCCATCGAGAGCCCAGTACTGATCTGGAAACGGCAGGGCTCTGCTCTCGGCGCCCGTTCATTTAAGAAGCAGGGAGAGCCTGGCCAGGTCCGTTTTTAAATTAAAATCAAAATTGAATTACCCTTCCTCTAAAATGGCAGTTTCTTAGCAACTCCAAGGCGCTGAATAGGAGAAGAACATTCTGCAATTTGGAGGACAAGTGAAAACAACTGAGAATTCTTTTTTCTAAAGCCCAGCCTGGTTGTGTGTGTGTGTGTGTGTGTGTGTGTGTGTGTTTTCCCTAAAGAGTAGGCAGTGGTTGCTTTTGTTGCGTAAAAATGCACTACACCAGTTAGCAGGAGGCACGTTATTAGGGGGAGGATGATCAAAGACCGCTGGAGTTTGAGGAGCCCAATAACCGGCTAAAGACCCCACGCTAATTACAATTAGTAGAATGAGTTCATTGCCTCGTCAAGACCCTGCCTGACACACTCGCGCCAGACAGGCTAAATCCAGTTGAGTTCTGAGTTTTGTCTGCCCTACGCTTCCTGCAGCCTCTAGGACTGGCTGAGAAGTCGTCCAAACTAAAAATGATGAGGAGCAAAAGGAAGACGAGGGCCTAGGATGAGACAGAGCTCTACACGTGCAGGAAGGGTCTGAGGCTCCCGGCGCCAGGCCGCTGGCGTGGTCTCTTCTGGAGCAGATGTGTGGCTTGGAAAGCGAGCGGGGTGCCCAGAATTACTCTAAAATAAAGAGCAGGTGCAATTCTGTAGACAGTGGCTCGTTCTCCACCTACACTTGGCCTTAGCTTCCCTCTGCCTCGGCAGGTGACTCAGAAAAGCGGTGCAGAAGGGGCTGAACTCCAGTTTCCTCCAGAAACTTACAGACTCTGGGCAAAGCCAAAGTGTCCCCCCGCACAGGAATCCCTCTGTGACTAGGGAGGCTACGCCTTCTGAAATGCTAACGCAGAACTGTTCCCTGTCCATCGCTCTTGCTCAGCGAGGTGGAGACACAGCGAGCTGCTGGGGGGGCTGGACCATGCGAGGACTCACGCAGGTGGAGACCACGCCCTTCCTTACGGGAGGCCCACGGTCGTGGGGTCAGGGGCCCAGTCCATGGGATCTGGAGGCCCATGCTCATGGGGTCAGGGGGTCAGTCCAGGTCTTCTGGGCTGAATGAACTGGTGGCCTGGTGGGGGTTCCACCCCTCAAGTTTAAGGTCTCTGAGCTCTGTGCCTGGCAAGTGTAAACCAGAACTGAAGCCCAGGAGCGCAAAGCAGGCCACATTTAAGTTCAAAAATGCCTGGAACCAAGAA